TAACCCGCACCACCACCACATCCCTTTAACAAACATAGGTTTCGCTATAATAACTTCTAGATGATGTGCTTTTCCTCAGGCTTTGAAATACTAATTAACCTGTGTCAATATTGACAAACTAGGTTAATTTTTTGTGTTGAATGCTATTCCAAATTGTGTGCAAACTATGCCTTTAACCTTAATCATTCTTCAAGCCAGAGATCTTATAACTCAAGAGGATTGTGCTGTCTTGATTCTTTCTCTTGTGTGTTGCTCTCATACTCAAACACTTGGAACTTGTTACTTTATTAAGGTCTTCCTTTACCTATGTGAAGTCCAGGGATATTGGCAATACTGAATCTGAAGAAGTACAGTGACTGTAACTGATGGTTGGCTAGTGCGCGACTGACACTTCAAGTATTTCACTGGGAATTGAAGGATTCATGTCCTCATTTCATTGAACCGTGAAACTCACTGCTTTGTTTATTTCATGAAGTTGTATGAGGATAAAATAGTGATGAGAAGAGCCATTTACCTTCATTTTTACTGAAGAATAAATGTGGAGTCCCAGTTTAACTGTGATTTTAACATAAATAGTTCAAAAACACATCATATGCAGTGTCAGGTATTTCACCATCTCCTCTTGAGGCTTAGCTGAAACACAGATTTTATACTTGGAAAAAGGTTGAACAGATTGCTTTATGCTCACTCTGTGCTGCTGAAACTGTAAAATGGCTTTGCTACTTTTGAAGCTGCAGAGTAGGTCTGTACTGAGCTCTGTCTTGTGTTCAAAAGGGGCTGCTTAGTTATCTCCCACTAGCACATTAGGTGCCATCCCAGCTTTTACTGCTCCTCTTGGTGCCAGGCAGTGTATTGGGCAGTGAAATCTTGGAAAAAGCTGTGTCAGTTTCTTGATTCTGACCTGCATCAGTTACAAACCTTAAGATGTCTCTTAAACTACCCCACATCAGACATGGGGATCTTACACCTGTGGTGGTCTGCTCCGCACTTAATTTTGGGCAGATCTCCCCAACACAATTTCAGCCAGCCATCTCAAACTCTTTGTTTGCACGTTTCATACATTTCCTGTCAAGGTGACTTAGAGTATCTTCAGATCAGTGATTTTTCTCATCTTCATGGTGGAGGCAGGGGGTACCATGCTTGTTATATCTCTACATTTCTCATTTCTCTTGTTTCATACTCTTCATATGCAAATACCTCATAAGGGATACAACTCGTGAGATGCTATTCTGATGTTATCCTCTTCTTCCCTTTTCCTATCCTTCTAACCTTAGAAGGGCCGCCTTCTTTAACGGTGAACTATGCAGAACTGCACACATTCATGTAGAAACAAATTTGTATTTAGGAAAGTAGAATCTTAACTCTTCTACATTGCTAGAACCCAACACTTCCATCTCTTCCCACTCCCCGATGCCTCTGTTAAGTACTTAAATGGGTGTTTATATTCAGTAGTTTAAATTTGTGCAGTGTTGTGTAAATATGACAGTTTGTGGGAGGATTAAAAGCCATAGTATGATTTTTGGGGGGAATGGAGAGAAGATGCTTTATAAACAAAAAGTACTCAAGTACTGTACGTGTTTGTAATAGGATACTAAGGAATTAGATTTAATTGTTAAGCATTAGTAGTTGGTGGTTGTTCCACAACACTCAAATAGTCATAAACTTTCCAACCCTTTGCATTCCTTCACCCTCTGCAAAACATCTGAAATCAGCATCAGTTTGCCTCATGTGTGAGGCAAATAATGCTTGTTGCAAGGCCTGCTTCCATGGTAGTGGGTGCAGTGTGAATATTGAAGTCCCCAAATTAAAAAGATGGAGAGCTCCTAGAAATAAATTTTATTTATTCTCTTTATGTGTGTTATTTGACTTGAAGATGTGCATTTCCCCTTTAGTTGTGAGCCTTCAGGGATTAAAACGATTCTATATGTATAGGAACTCCATCGTGCACATTTGTGCTGTGAACAAGAGAGTTCCTTAGATTAATATGTTCAGTCTAAATGCCTCTTTATTTATTGCTCTGTTTTGATTTCAGTGGCCTGTTTAAAATTCCACTTTGAAAGAGAAGTTGACACTTCCTTTGCCTGTAGGCAAAACTCATCCAGACTCTAACCTGGTGAAACAGAATCCTCATGCAAGCAGTCTGTGCATTGGAATGATTGCTTAACAGGGAGTTTAATGAAGCTGCAGAAGGCATTTGCAGCTCCATTGCACATTCATTGAGAGTAACGTGCATCTTTCTTAATCCCCTCCTTCCCTGCTTTTTCTCGACAGAGATGGAATGCATTGATGAGGGGCTGCTACAGTTCTGTGCAAACAAACTGAAACTGTTACATCTTCATGAGTCAGTCATCAGTCTAAATTCTGTGGCTATGCCATCTGAAACTGTACCATCTGATAATGTGAGTAATGGCAAAATGTCTTTTATAAAGAAATACAAATGTATTGAACAACATATAATAGAATATAAAAAGATGTTTGTCTAAGTTTTACACTGCTGTCTCAGTTTCTATAATTGGGGCTGACAGTATTTGGCATTAGGGAAGCCAGACTGCTTTTTGGCAAAAGAATCTCTCAGGTTTGTATTATTTTAATTCTTAGATCAGGGTGGGCACAATCTGAGGACTTTGGGACCAAACTGAAGTCTTTGGGTGAAAGCAAAGGCTGCATCAAGCCTGGAAACCTCTGAGAAACTCCATAAAAATAAGTAACAGGAAGTGGCTGGATGAGTACTTCCTGTTTATTGCGAGGGTTTGGAAGAGGCTTTTTGGGGCCCCCAAGTTCAGGAGCAAACAAACAAAAAACAAAACACTTCTGGGAGCTTTTTCTTTTCTTTTACTTCCCAAAAATCATCGCTGGATCACCAATGGCAAGATCAGGACTGGCGGTGGCAATGTGGTGACCATTTTTGACTTTTAAAGGGTCACCCTTTCCAAAGGTGCCCAAAGACTTCTCCGGGGCAAAAGGGACTGCTAGGGAGCTTTGGAACTAAAAGGCTCCGAGGAAACGCTAAAGAAGCTTTTACTTTGTTTTAAGTACACGTTTTTGGCATTTGATCCAGCTTATACCCCAGTGCAAAGTTAGCCAACAGCATTTTGCCACTGTAACTGCAAATATAATGGTTGGTGTGATGTCCAGTATTTACATAGGGCACTCCTTCTGCGGAAGGACCCACAGCAATCTGACAAGGGCAAGAGTGTCCACAGTTGAAGTTCCTTGTGCATGAATATTAAATAAGTGACTGGCCATTTTAATTTCTAAGTATTGCTTGATACTTAGCAGTCAGTTTGATGAGCATACTGATCTGTGCCTAGATCTTTGAAATGTTCAGAATGGTGGTTATGTTTGTGTTCTTGCTTGTTTCAAGCAATATATGCAGGATATAGGCATTACACGGAATGCATTTATTTTACGGATGGTTTATGAAGCATTTTCACCACTTAACTAATAGCCACTTAAGATAATGGTTCAATTGATGAAACAGTATGGGACAGAATAAAAAAAGAATCTCAATAGGGTCTTGCAGAATTTCATTGAGACCCCTCCTCCCAACATTCCCTGACACATTCCAGGGGATACAGGAAGATGCCTCTCAGATTATGCAATATAACGCAGCTACTCAGATTGGAAAAATTCTTGGATTGGCCCTTTAAATGGAAACTGTTGAGTGGAACACTATGGTAGCATTTCTGGGGTGTCTGTGGTCTTCAATGTTGTATATTTAATTTATTACTTTTAAGGACTTGGCTAAACTACTCAGATTAGAAGAAAAAGAGTTTACTAGGCTACAGATGTTATTGGAGAACTACAAGCAGTTGAATACCCAGACTTCTGTTCACTTTGCGGAGGATAAAGATGGCAAACTACCTGTGAAAACCTTCTTGGAGTATTTGGATTATGAGAAGGATGTGATTCATGTGAAGAAGTTGGAAGAGAAGGAATATGTGGCTTTAGGTATGAACCCTTGATGATAAACACTGCCTTGAGTGTGGGATCTTCAGTGCACTTGGGTTTCCACTCCTGCCTAATTTCAGGTTCCTTCTCTGTTGCAAAGACATGTCAGGCTCTTTCTGCAAAAGCACCATAAGAAGAGGGATGTGGACAAAGGGCTCTAAATGAAGGTCATACTGGACCCCTGTGCAGTTATAGTCAATAACTGGATGCATAAACAGGAATGGTCCTGTGCTGTGCAGCACTTCCACTACAACACTGCAGTGCTATGTAGCTCTACCCTTTGCCCGGCATTGCTCTTTGCCACAGGATAGATGTGAAGGCTGCATCCACACAGATGTCTGTGTAGCACAGCTGGGTTCTCCCATGCTAAGATTACCTGGACTGCATTAAAAGTGATCTGTGTGGCCATAATACTAGGGCTGCAGTCTCATGAAAAATGCTAAAAGGATCAGCACTTACTTTACTGCCTGTGATCAAAGGCAGTAGTGAGGAGATGTTGGGGGAAGGGAGGAAGAGCAAAATGTAAGTACATAGTTTATATTCAAATTATTTACTGCCCACCTGCATTGGTTCAATCAGCATTTATTGATATGTATTGTATGATTTACAAGCAAAAGGTCTTTAAGGGAAGACAATGTTTAACCATCAGGAAAACTGTGTTATATGTATTTGTTTGTGCAGGAAGCTTTTTTTTCTGGAAATGTTTACATGGAGAAAGTTCAACAGAAGAAATGTGTGAGACACTCATGTCTGCAGGCTTTAGCCCCCAGCTATTATTGGTGAGTACTGTACTATCTTTTTTGTTTTATTCAGTATAGCTTGCATCAAATCTCCATGATAACGTCTCTCTGTTAACATGCTCTTCAGGGTTGACAGCTAGGTGTAGTCTCAGAACAGAATGACCTCCTTTCAGAGGATGTTGGAGGATGTTGATGGGGAGAAAAAAGATCTTCCTATGGGCTTGGGGGATGTTTCCTGTTTTTTCATGCTTGCACATACAACAGTTTTCTGTGTAATACACATCAAGCTACTGTTCATTGACTGCAAGACAAAGTAAATAACATCTGTTGCTGCCAAGTATCTATTACTAAAATGGGTTGCCTAACTTTTTAACGTACCTTATGATACTCCTACATCGATCACCCCAAACACAGGATGGGGAAAGCTCCTGGACTATATTATGAGAGAGGTCTATCCAATGTGAAGCAACGGTTTAAAATGGAAGTACTGTTGTACTGTGTATTAATGCTCCAGGGAGCTTATTGTTGTGGGAAATGTAAAAGTCAACAGAATCGCTTTCTAATTCTCTCTAGAGCTGAGAGCTGAACATCGCTAAGCCAAATCTCTTTTTATTTTTACGAGAAGTCTCCTAATTCGTCTTTTTCAGTCCCTGGTTCTCAGTGTATGGCTTGCTAAGGAAAAAGATATGCTACATAGAACACAATCCGTTTGTTGCCTTCATGCAGCGCTGTCCCTTCTTAGCAAAATGACAGGTGAGATGAGTTGATAGAACAGAAATAACTGGTGTGTATGTCTTCAAAATAGACCATTGACATATATCTGTAAATGATGATTAAAACTGTGGACTTTACTTTTATTAGACTTGTACCCCATCCCCCTAGACAAAGTCTACTCAGGCCAGCTTACATAAATAATAAAGCACAACACTATAACAAAGATAATAAAATTGTACAAAACACAAAACTTAACACTTATTACTAAATACATTGCCAAAGTCGAGCCTAGTGTTTCATGTGAATTTATTTCAAAAGAAGTGAACCACTAAATACTTCTGAATTTTTCAAAAGGCTCTCTGGGAATGTACCCATGTTCCAATTGTGGTACTTAAAAGGCCTGAATGCATACTCAGGTGCAGCAGAGTTTTCAAAGGCTACTCTTTCCAGTATAGTAGCCTGTGGAAAGTTTTTCTTTTCTACTTCATCCTCTAACTTTCTCTGCTGTTCATCTGTTGTTGCACTGAAATTCTGGCAGTGTATGTCAACTTGTGGATAGGCTCACCATGTTAAGGATCGATCACTCCTCCTATCCACATCTCCTGTTTGTGTAGCATTTTCAATTTGCTCCTAACACTTGTTTTTTTATAATTTTTTATAAAACAGTTCTGTGATTAATTTCTAGTTGATTATTTATCCTTATCCTGACAGAATTCTATCAACACCTTTTTTGAAACACGCAAATTAAAAATAGTCGCCTTGAAAGCATCTTGTGACTTCTTCATAAATATCAGCTGTGTATCTTGAATGTTTCAAGACAATCATGGCTTCAAGATAATGTTCTTGAACAAAATGTTGCAAACTATTGTTTGAAGGAAGCTAATGGAATGCCAGTACTTTCATGTCACTGAATGGAGAGTGTAATTGTTTTCACATGGCTAATGTCTAGATTTGACCACTGTAGTGCAATTTATGTGGGGCTGCCTTTGAAGACTATCTGGAAAGTGCAGTTGGGATTGAATGTGACTGCAAAAGTATTATCTGGACCTGTCTATCCTGGCATTCAGTCACCATTGAAATCTGAGCTGAATTCAAAGTGCTCATTTTGATTTTTAAAGCTCTTCACAGCTAGGAATATTTGAAAAAATTACTTCTTCCTGTATGTAACTATCCATGCTCCAGCTGTTCTCTTTGTAGTCCTAAAATCTATGATAGGGTGGATGGCGATAATAGGGAATGCTTTCTTACTAGATGCTCCTCCCTTATGGGGTACTGCCCCAAGAGGAGCTCACCTGGTACTAATCTTAATTTCTCCCCTGCCAAATGAAACATTTATATTTATAGACTTTTTATGTTGGAGTCCTGCGCCTTCACTCCAACCTTCTGTAACTTATTACAGGACTTCTCTGAATCTAGAATTTTAAAAATGACTAATATTTACTCTTAGTATCTTCTACGTTTCCTCTCTGTTTAAATTATTTTAATGCATCTTTGTAAAATTTTTCATAATATATTTTAGAATTTTAATTTGGCTTTGTATTAGATTCGCTGTGTTATTTATAGAGCATTAATTACTGGGAAACTTAAACGTACAGTAAACAGTGAACGGCAAAATTTTGAAGCAAAACAATATTGCATATTTACAAAATCACATTGGATTGGTATGGCCATTAAATGACTGTATTAGTTTTAGTTAGTTAAAACTGTATCAGTTAACTACAGAAGAGATTTTGGGGTAGAACTCTGTCTTGCGTGAGGATTGGAAACAGCCCTTGTAGCAACACTACTATCCAGTTCTGTATCATAATGTACCAGCAGATTGTCGACATTGGTCAAAATTGTGTTGCTTAGTAGTAAACTGCACTAGAGTAGGTCCACTGAATCAATTGAGATTTGGTGAGTCAATGTCTTTATAAGTTCCATTGATTCAAATGAGCCTACTCTAATGTAGGTTCTTAATAGCAAATTGTTTTACGGTAGTCTCATTTGAATCAATGGAATTTATAAAGGGGTTGACTCACCAAATCTCCATTGATTCAGTGGGTCCTCTCTAGAGTGATTTACTATACTAAGGACAGGATTTGAGCCATTGTCTTAAAAGACCAAGCTTTCTTTCTTTTAGAACTCTCAGGGAACGCCTCTATTCTTCTTAGCTCTGGCGTTTGTTGGAGATGTGTGATGATGTATGCATTATAGGAGGGGAATACTTTTTTCTAAGAGGTTTCCCACAGTTCCTTATAAAAGCCATTTCAGTTCATGTATTTTTTTGAAACCAATACTTTCATTGGTTAGGTGGGTTTTGATCACATTTTCTAAAATTGACTAGATGGTATGGTGCTACAGCTGATTTTGTTTTTAAAAATGTTCGATTTTTGCTTTCCTGCTTTTAGCTGACAACTTTTACACTTCAGTTTTTCCCTTTTTGTATTTAGTTGCTATAGATGAGTCCTGGGATTCTCAGTCAGTCTCCCCCTGGTGGCAACAAATGCGCACTGCCTGTATTCAGTCTGAAAATAATGGTGCAGCCTTTTTATCTGCCCATGTTGGGCATTCTGTCACAGCACAGATCACCGATAGCATAGCAGAGAAAAAGGTCAGTAAGTTATCTCTTCCCCCCTGAGATACTTGCAATAGCTTCTTTCCTAAAAAGAAAAGTATGCTGTTTGCTGCTGCTAATGAGTATGTGTTAAACTCTCATTTATTAAAAAATATTTAAAATTTGGCTTTTGTTGGCAATGAGATGTAAAGGTAGAATCAGGTGAGTCAGCATAGACCAACTGGCTGTAATCTGACAGGATACCAAATTACTACAGTAATACTGATGCTGAATTTCACATTCTTTTTAGGTATTGCTAACACTAAGAACTGTTCCTACTTGTGTTTCTGTTTAGTACCTAGAATGTAACACTTCATTGTACTTTGGGGGGTTTTGTGTGTGTGTATTAGGCTTTAATGCAGCATAATGTCAGGAGAGCAAAAGTCCTTCTTAACATAATTGTGATGGATAGCATTGTGTAAGAGTTAGTATAACTAGTTGTGCACTTCTACACAAAGGGTTCTGCATCCTCATGTGCAACTAACTACTCACACAGCAGAAGCTGTATTGGGGACTATGTCTGCATGCTGAACTTGTGCAACCACCAGTGGAACCTATCTTCTGCTAGTCCAATGACATCATGGGATACAGGCCTTAGGCTCCTAGGAAGTTCAGATATAACACCCTTCTGCCCAGTTCCTAAGGGATAAATGAAGATAGTTATTCTGCCCTTTCTCCTGGAATTCCAAGGCAGCATACATTGTCTTCCCCCACCCAGAATTTTATCTTTTCAACAAACTAAAAGAATAGGTTAGGCTGCACGATTGTTACTCTCTCCTTATTTCTACCTGGTTTTTAAAAGATAATACAGTGGTGTCTCGCATTGCGAGTTTAATTTGTTCCGCAAAAATCGCTGTTGAACGAAAACGTCGCTATGCTACATTAAAAAGCCCATAGAAACGCATTAAAACCTGATTAATGCGTTCCTAGGGGCTTAAAACTCACCGTTCAGCGAAAATCCTCCATAGCGCGGCCATTTTTGGTGCCTTTTAAGCGAGGAATCCATCCCAGAAAACAGTGGGTGGCCATTTTGTTTACCCAGCGGCCATTTTGAAATCGCCAATCAGCTGCGCGAAAATGGTCACTTTGCGATGATCGGTTCCCGAAGCAGGGAACCGATCATCACAAAACGAAATTTCCCCATAGGAAACATCGCAAAGCGATCGCTTTTGCGATAGCAAAAAGTTCGTCACAAAGCGATTTCATCGCTAAATGGAGCGCTCGCTAAGCGAGGCACCACTGTACTTTAAGTTGATCATACAATCTTTTGCCATACCCGTGTCTACTGATAATACATCTGTTATTGAGAGATTTCCTTTTCTTACTTCTCTTCTTCATCTAAGCAAAATATGCATGTGGCAAACCTATATCATAAAGACAGTCATCAGTGGTGATTTGATTGCACTTTTCAGTTGTGTGTATTTCTGCTAAACATTTAAACCTCTGTGCAGAGTCCCAGTGTGACTCCATTGACCAAACACCATGGAGAGTTCACAAGCCATTTTTGTCTGTTAGTTTTCCCATATAACTATAGGTGCTGATACAGATCCTTGGGAAGCCCTTTCGCTCGATACGGAATACTGGAAACTTCTGCTGAAACAGCTGGAGGATTGCCTAATACTTCAGACACTCCTGCTCAGTAAAGTGAGCAAGAAGGCAAGCCAAGTCTCCTCTCTGCAGACTGAGCCACTCGGCAGACTCTCTGTCAAGAAGCTGCTTGAGGGAGGAAAAGGTGATCTTGCCAAAAGAGCTTAGCTTGGATTCAAATATCAGTGAGTGGACCTTCACTCATGCATGGGAAGGGAGGCAAATTTCACTGATTACACCTTCATTGCAGCCCTGGACCTCCTAAAAATGTGCATACTCCAGAGGAGTATGAGAGGTGGTGAAGGAAGCTATATGGCAGAGTGAGGATTAAGGAAGATCGCCTCTCCTTCCCCCCTTACTCTTCTATAACTAGGAACCTCTGTTAGATATAATCATTTTTTGTAACTAGAAGGACTTGTTTTCTTCATAAACCAGCTCAATCCAACCCAGTCTATTGGGTATCTGTGTTTTCCTTCCATCCTTCCTAAATATAAAATTCTCTCGTAATCTTCAAGGCACTTGCTACTTTTAATTGAAGTTTTGGTGCCGTCACATTTGGTCTGAGGTGATTTTACTGTGTAGGATTTGTGATATCCTGTCTATCTGTATCCAGTGTTGTGCTGTTAAGAGATAAAACATGTTTGTGGGCATGGTTTCTGTGGTTTGAAGGAGCCTAAGAGGAATGTCAGACCAGGTTGTCTTAAACTAAACCTGTCAAAGGTTCTGAATTTTTCTGTGGATTCTGGAGTGTTTATAGTCACTTGTTAATTTGCCCTAGGTTCTTTAACAACCCACATACACAGATTATAATGAAATAGAAACTTACAGGCATTTAGTTTAAAATTGAGAAGAAATCAAGGGCATCAACAGTCCTATTGAATTTGAAGTTAAACAACAGCTCAGCTTATACAACATTTTAGCCTTGGTTTTAGGCTGCTTGAGTTTATTTGTTGTTAAATAATTCCAGCATGTTTCTCATGTTGTTTAAGAAATAAGTCAATTTAAACTGCCTTATCTTGAGTCTGGGTTTTCATGCTACAGAGTTTTTCCTCAAGTCTTTTCTCCATGAGACTGGATTAATGTCAAATAATAATAATAGTAATGAAGTGTTGTCTTAGTGATATTAGAACTCAGTGAAAGGTGCAAAATAATCCCAGTAATATAGAAGAAGGTGGAATCAAGATGTGCAAATAGAACTCAATATGTAAATTAAATTTTTATGGAAAAAATCAGATAGACACATTATTCTATTAGTATTAGCTAACAGGAGGATTTTGGATTCAGTACGGTGGCATCTGATAAAGGATTTAGTATCAATAGCTTATATGACATGCATCTGTGTTCCTGTACCAACAGAGAATTGCTGATAAGCAGTAGATTTATTTTTCCCCCATGCCCAGAGGCATTGTCCAAGGAAGATGTTAGGATTGTAAACTATCTTGATGCAGAAAAATATTTTCATGTGTGTGTATCTCTCTCTCTCTCTCTCTCTCTCTCTCTCTCTCTCTCTGTATGTATGTAATTGATGTGATTTGTATCGTGGCATCTTTTTGTAATTGTTGAGTGTCATATTGTAGACACGGTTATGCAAGGCAGTCATATAGGGAGTCACACAATACTGTGTTTTCTTCAAAACTGAGCTCTTCATATCTGATGTGGTAACATTTCTTTTCAACTATGGGGTGGTAAGAGACAACTGGGCAAACCCAGGTCAAAAGAGCTCATCATGTGACAGACAGTTGATGTGATAAGTCCTTACAAAGGTGAGCAGGTTTGGGGTTTATGGGAATTCTGGAGAAGCTCATAAAAATATCTAGAGCAACTGCTGGATTGAAGTGAGTGGAAGTTTTGTACTGCTGTTTGTGGATAATTGCCACCTCCCCAGCCTTTGTTGTATCTGTAACTATTTATTTCACCCCTTTAATTCCTTAGGCAGCTGCTTCAATACATTGTATTGGGCGTAAAATGTTTAGCCATTTTATAGATTCAGCAGAATCAAGTGGTCAAGATTTACTTGGATTCTGCATCTTCAGCAGGCATGTGGCTGGTTGTGACCTGGCATGCTCCCAGATTAGAAAACAAACGGCATACACATATCTCTGCATTTAAAGCAGTTGTTGGGAAGAGACTCAGTCTAACCATTTCCCTCAAATGCCATGTCTATATGCATTCTTTCCAACGTAGGAAGAACATATAAATTGCTAGTCTTTGCCTAGAATGTCAAGCGGCACCATCCAGGAAAATCGTACTGTACTACAGTATTAAGATTTAGTGTGTGCCTACACTGAAACCAGGAGGAATTATAGCTGATTCTCGACTGCCTTTTACATTGTTTCAGGAGGCATTGCTGACAGTGTAGCAAAATGGGTGTTTAAACAAGACCTCAGCTTGGCATTACTCAGACTGGCACAGAAGAGAGAAGAGTCTGAAAGCGAAGAGGAAATGCAGCAGACAGAGAGTCATTTTCTAGCGGAAAGTGTAGAAGACCAGCCTGGCTTTGAAACGGTACTAGGTAAAGATGCTGAACAAATCCCTGAATTGAGAAACAAACTAAATTAGCTGAAGGGTCTCCATCTGGTAAGCATCAAAGGAACGAATAACAATATTAATGATCTTCTATAATTTATTTCCAGAATTACTGCGTTTAGCATATCAGCAGTTCCCTTGTAGCCTGGAGATGGATGTACTCCATGCACATTGCTGTTGGGAGTATGTTGTGCAGTGGAACAAAGACCCAGAGGTAATGGGGCCTTTCAGGTTTTTTATCCTCATATTTCATATGTTTCCTATACTGTAGATTGGGAGAAAGCTGTATAAACTTGTTTTTGAATAACATTGTATAGACTGGCCATTTGTAGAGAAAAGCTGTTTTGACCAGTTTGATGTTTTACAAGTTGTTTTACCACTTGAGTTGCAAGTTCATTAGTTGATGATCAGTTCTGCTGCCATAGCTTGTTAGAAGCTGATAGTGCTAGTTCAAACGACTGTATTAAATACTGTGTTTTGAAGGCTAAATGATGTTGCAGACAGTATATGAATGACGTCTGGGGAGGATAAAGTTGTATCTTGCAATATAGATATTGAATGCAATGTTGTTGCATTCAAACAACATTGTGAATTGGAGAAGTGTCCCTAATATAGCATAATGTTAAATGATGCAGATAAAAAATGCTTCACAAATTATTGTTTTCAAAGAATTATTTTTATTGCTTTTTCATTTTTACCATGTTTTCTAAAACAGAATTAGTTATTCATAGTGCTTGTCCTTATCTGCTGCTTTGAAGCTGTATTTGCTTTTTCAAACTGCAGAGAGATAAATAAGCATCCAGTGTTCATTCCACACGAATTTCAGAGAAAAGGGTTTTTTAAAAAATACAGAGCATTCTTCTCTGCTAGAAGAGCTTTTCATGGGCATCCATTTTGTAAAATAACTTCTCTTTGTGCACATGTGTGTATTTAGCCTTGGCACGTATTAATCAGGCCTCATACTTAACAAAGGCTGTGATGCTGATCAAAAGTCTTAAGATGTTAAATCAAAGCCCTGAAGAATTTAACAGATAGTTAGAGGATTGTGATATGCAGTTTGTATGATTCAGTGCATTGATCTACTTAAACATTGTTATTTCTCTCCCCCCTTTAATCTTTTAATACAAGGAAGCCCGTTTTCTCATCAGATCTATAGAACATCTCCGATGTATCACCAGTGCTCATGTTCAGCATGGTATGTACAGATAGAACGGTTACATTCCTCAGTAACATTTGAATGGTTTGTATAGTTTAGAGGTGGGCAACTTTAATGAACCTTGGGGTTTCTGTCTCTTCCCCCCACCCCCAAGGATTGTCCAGGGATTATGCAGACAGCTAAAAAAGAAAACTCTGCAAGACCAAACAGATCCTACTTCTAGTTCTGAAAAATTGGCAGACTATTTAAAAGGCAAATCACTGCTTCTTAAGGCGCGTGTGTGTGTGTGTGTGTGTGTGTGTGTGTGTGTGTGTGTGTGTGAGAGAGAGAGAGAGAGAGAGAGAGAGAGAGAGAGAGAAGAAGAACCATATTTGGAGCAGAGCAGTTGGAGAGTCCGATGAGGGTGTGGTCTACAAAAGCAGCCTTGGAAGGATCATACTTTGCTCACCTCTGATCAGTTGGAGAGTCCGATGAGGGTGTGGCCTACAAAAGCAGCCTTGGGAAGGATCATACTTTGCTCACCTCTGATCTAGATTGAGTCTTTATCAGTCTGTATGCATGAGGTAGAGGCTCACTTCAGGGTTGTCACTTCAGGTTTATACGATATGGGGGGATTCACAACTGTAATGTTGACTGAATCAGTGTTATGTAGTAATTAGAATGTTGGACAAGAATTTGGGAGATATGGGTTCAAGCGCTGAGTAACCTTGGGCTATTTTGCAAGATCATTGTGTGATGTACCTTACAGGGTAGGTACCATTTATGGCACTTTGAGCGAAAAAGTGGGATATAAATGCAGCAAACAAGTAGAATACAAAGGCAGCTTTATTGTAAGGAAAATGGTGATGCTCACACTCATTTTATAATTGTGCATACCACTATCACTGAATCCCTGCAATGAGCATTGCGTGCATACACACACAGACACACACACAAACTGCAAAATTATCACACAACAATATTTTAATTAGAATGCAGACATTGCTATATTAATCAATAAACATAATCCAAACTCAGGTGAATCAAGAGAAAGAAAAAAAAATCCCCAAACCGTGTACAGTCTTTCAGCATCACAAGAACTTCCTTCATCAGGTGTCATGTTACAAAAGGTGGTAGGGAGTCGGAAGAAGAGGGCTGGGGAAGGGGAGAGAGCCAAAATATATTAGGTCTTATAGGCTTTTTGTTCCTGCACTGTTCTGTGGTGGGGAAGGAGAAAGCAGTTCAAATGTGTCTCTCTCAAGAGAAGTACTGCTGGTGTTGACTTACAGGAGGAATTAACCACTCTTCTGACTGAGAATGTACTGAGGAGAATTTGTTCCTCCATTGTTACTTTGAAATTTACTCTCTTTCTGTCCAATATTTGAAATAGCGGATATTTTAAGTAATACAATATTTGTATGTTAGGTTATATTTAAGATTACAAATACATGATTATAGTTATTTATTTAAATATTACTTTAATTACTTAAATTCAGGTACTTGTAATCTTAAATATAAAATATTTTATATGGCAACTAATGCAAATATTTATATTTGTAGGTGAATAAACAAATGTGTAATTTTATTTATTTCCTGCTTCCCACCCCCCCCAAAAAAACCTCGAGCTCAAGGTGTCTCACAACAAAATTAACCAAGAAAAACACAGATAAAAATGCAACAATACATTTAACACATATTACTAACAAATAATTTTTAAAAGATAATATTAGAATGCATTTGAGTTAAAATCCATTTAAAAGCACATCAATGAAAGTAAGTGTAGAGCAGCCACCCATTAAAGTCTCATGAAAGGAAAAAGCTCAATTCCTATTCAATCAGCCTTCTGTACTCCAGCAGTTTTGCACTAACATCATTTTGCCACAGGTTTCTGATTCTGTCACTTTGCCTAATAGAAAAACATGTCTGACATTGCTTATTCTGGAGCTTAAACTTATATACCTATTGCAGGTATTGCTCTAATGATGTGGAACACATTCATCGTAAAAAGGCTTTCTGCAGCTACTTACTTAATGGACAAGGTATATTTTGCAATTTCTCATTCTGTTCTTCAACAAAGTTGGGGAAACCCTTGACAACTACTGTTTTAAACTTCAAGAAATCTCAGCTGATTTATTACTTCAGTCAACTAATTTATTAAATCTATATTTATGGGTGAATAAATACCTCTGCAGGGGGAAAGGTGTGCTTTTTATATAGCAAGCACATATACTGCATCAGGCATGATCTCTTCTTACAGTGAGAAGCTGTACTTGGCAGCTCATACTTGATGAGATGAGGTAGCCTTGATGCAATTTATGTGGGCATTATTTTAAGAATTACACTTTTTTAAAAAGCTGCTCCCATGCAAATATATAAATTTGTGTAATACATAACTTCGGCTGAAATCCTGTTGAGCACAGTAAGTCACGCTGGAGTAGGTGCATTGAATCACTGAGGATTTGGTGAGTGAACTCCTCCGTATGTTCCATTGATTTAGAATAGCCCTACTCTAGCTGTTTTTCATCCAAAGAGGTGTTCAGCACTTCCCAGACCTGTCTCCTCCAGTGGACACTCACTCAGAGGCAATGCCCAAAAGTGGTGGGGCAGGGAAGCACCAAGCAGCTTTTTGGACAAAAAATGAAACAGGGGTTTGTGTCCATCTCTGGTTGTGACATTTTAGTGCAATAAGGCACTGACTGAGTAGGCCAGTTTGAATTAATGGAACTTATGGAGGAGTTGACTCACCAAATCCCTGCTGAGTCAATGATCCTACTCTAGTGTGACTTATTTATGCTAAGCAACAGGATGTTGGCCATTGTGTGCTGCAAAATGACCATTTGCTTTTAACATGCATAGGGATAAGCATATATACTCTGATTGCAGAAAGTGAGGAGGAATTAAAGAACCTCTTAATGAGGCTGAAAGAGAAGAGCGCAAAAAATGGTCTGAAGCTCAACATCAAAAAAACTAAGATCATGGCCACTGGTCCCATCACCTTCTGGCAAATAGAAGGGGAAGATATGAAGGCAGTGACAGATTTTACTTTCTTGGGCTCCAGGATCACTGCAGATGGTGACAGCAGCCACGAAATTAAAAGATGCCTGCTTCTTGGGAGGAAAGCGATGACAAACCTAAACAACATCTTAAAAAGCAGAGACATCACCTTGCTGACAAAAGTCCGAATAGTCCAAGCTATGGTTTCTCCAGTAGCGATGTATGGAAATGAGAGCTGGACCCTAAAGAAGGCTGACCGCCAAAGAATTGATGCTTTTGAATTGTGGTGCTGGACGAGACTCTTGAGAGTCCCCTGGAGTGCAAAGAGAACAAACCTATCCATTTTGAAGGAAATCAACTCTGAGTGCTCACTGGAAGGACAGATCCTGAAGCTGCGGCTCCAAAACTTTGGCCATCTCATGAGAAATCTCCCTAGAAAGACCCTGATGTTGGGAAAATGTGAGGGCAAGAGGAGAAGGGGACGACAGAGGACAAGATGGTTGGACTGTGTCATCGAAGCTACTAACATGAATTTGACCCAACTCCGGGAGGCAGCGGAAGACAGGAGGGCCTGGTGTGCCCTGGTCCATGGGGTCATGAAGAGTCGGACACGACTTAACGACTAAACAACAACAACAAAGCATATATTCAATTAAATAATTGATGAAGTTGGGGAATTCATATATTATGGCTGGGTTGCGTCAGGTACAAATAAAGTATGGACTGTTGTGATTTGCAAGGTAATCTGTTTTTCATGAACTTAATAGAATGGGCAAAGGGTGGCTGTCAATAGGATGTTGGGCAGCCTTAGCTGTAGCCAAGCGAGCCAGGGAGTGAGAGGTGCTGAAAACTGCAGATGAAAACTGATATAGCTGCATCTCCAGGACTGCCTTTTGCCCACTCTGGTAGAGGCACATATTGAAGTTTGATTTATAAAACAAATGTATGTATGTGTGGAAACACACGTATATGTAGACATACACAAACATGATATACACAGGAAATGGTGGGAGGGACAAGGAAAAAATACTCTATACATTGATGGGTCGCAGCACTGTAGTGTGCAGTGCTTTTCTTGTTTTTTTTATTAAATAAATTCCTAATGAATACATTTTTCTGTAACAGGTGGGAAAAGCACCAAAGGACAGATTATGCAGAAGGGTAAATACTTTTTTAAAATCTGTAAATATATTGAAAAATATCTAAGAATGTCATGTGTGATGACATTTGTAGTGCTTTTAAAAATTATAGATGTGGGTGATATAAGCATGTGAGAAGGGGAAATGCGCTGTTGTCTTCCTCTGTCCTTGTTTTCATTGCCCTCTGTACATGGTGGAGGGCAATGGTCTAAAGAGGAGAGAGCCCCTCTCTCTAGGGTAGCTTTCTCCATGATTTGGAATGTGTTGGCTGAAATCCTGTTGCCCTGCTGTTATGTATGCAATGGGGATGGCATCATCACCAACAAATCACCTCTGATTAAAGGCAAATTGGTGCTGAAGAATAGGCAATTCCAGGATCCACACAACTCATAAATAATGCAACAAATTAGTTTTCAGCTCAAATTTGCCAAAGGAAGCCTTTAATCAGCAGCTGCCAGAGACATTGCCATTGTCATCATGCATGCAAAGCTGTGCAAAGCATGTGTCCTCTACACAAGATGAGCAATCTACACCCCCTCCTGTATTATTGCTTTCCTGTACCTGTGGAGGAGCTACATGTGAGCAGGAACCCCAACTGTGTGTGTGTTATCACATATAAAGTTGTCATGAATGCATCTCCTTATGTGTGAAGTAAGCCATGATGAATGGGTACAAGATTAATACTCCCCTCATTTTCTGTGAAATACTGTATATATGTTTTTTAAAATCATTCATTTTTTTGTTTAAAAGAAGCACATACTTGTTCTAAATAGAAGTTTTCTTGAAATCAAAGTGACTTTGATCAGTTTTACACATTCATTGTTTCTGCATTAAAAAAAATTATCTTTGACTTTTTCCAGTGTTAGTACTGAAAAGCATTCTTTGAAACTGTTTGTCTCCACGCTAAACGATTTTTAACATTTTAAACAAATTTTGCATATAAATCCAAAATGGTTTTCATCATCCTCTTGTTTTTCTAATTATTCCAATTCTCATACACCAGGATTCCTCAGTCCATTCCCACTTTTAGCATGTTCAGCATATGGTTAGGATTTATTTCAGCAAGTGAGGGGGTCCTTCTTTTTCATTTCATGGCCAGTATCCTATTGTCAATTTCAACTTGCATAAGGGAAATTGCATAGGTAGCAGTGGCAAATGGCCACACATTAACAAGATGCTAGTTGCGTTCCTGAGTGTGCCCTTAGTTATATGACTGAATATGTACCCCAAAAATGCAAGTAGCACCTCTGTAATAGTGAGCAATTTGGTTACAACAGAGCATGTCTCATTTCGCAGATTTCACATAAGCAACATTCAGCAACATGTAGTCTGGCCAGTCACCAATGCTGCTTTTAGATTAACATTAAATATGTCCATCTTTTTAATTTTTATCTTGACTTAATTTTGCATTGGAAGAAAATAATAAGGAAAGATATGTGGATGTAAACATGAATCTTAATCTGAGGCATCAATTCCTCATTTTCTTTATTATGATTCGATAGTTCTAAAAAAGGAGAGTTCTTTTGGGTGGTCTACAATACATATTTAAAGCTGGCTGGATAGTTCCGTGGGTTGGGTACCCAACCACACAACCAGAGGTTGTGAATTCAGTTTCTCACTGTGCAGCCTTGGGCAGGCTGCCAAATCCCAGAGGAACCCTAGACGAAGGGAATGGCAAACTTATTTCAGAGTATAGGAAATTCTGGAAAGGATCACTATAAGTCAGAATTGACTTGTTGGCTTGTAATTAAATTAATCAATATGTTTCATCATGTTAACTGAATTGAAAATGTCATAATTCATAAAAACACACTTAGAAATATGTGTCATTATGCCTTACTGTGCGTGTGCGGTATGTGTTTATAGTTTAGTGAATCAACAGTATTTAATTTGTTTGTTGCTGGACATAGTCCATATCCTCCATCTAAAAAAACAGCAAACGTTAAAAAGGTATTTAGGAAAAAAGTAATAATCACATAACCCCTTTTTTTGTCTCGTAGGATGTAGGAATGAGTGACACTGCAATGACCTCTTTTCTTGGCTCTTGCTCAGATCTTCTTCAGACCCTGATGGAGGTAAGAACCTCATTCCTCCAAAACCCACTTGAGACTCAATTTGTTTGCAACAAAGAGGATATTTCACTTTTACAGTGGTGCCTCGCTTAACGACGATAATGCATTCCAGGAAAATCGTTGTTAAGCAAAAATGTCGTAAAGCGAAATTAAAAAACCCATTGAAACGCACCGTCCAGCGAAAATCCTCCATATGGCAGCCATTTTCGGTGCCTGTAATGTGAGGATTGCGTCCCTAAGCACAGCGGGGAGCCATTTTAAGCACCTGGTGGCCATTTTGAAAACCTGGCTATCAGCTGTTTTTGATCGTCGTAAAGCGAAAACGATCATCGCTAAGTGAAATTCCCCCATTTAGACCATCATTTTGGACTGTATTTCATCATCGCTGAAACATCGTAAAGCATATTCGTCGTAATGTGGAGCAATCGTTAAGCGGGGCACGACTGTATTTCATGAAAGGTCTGTAATTTTCTTCATTTAAAGTGTTAGCAGGTGTTCTGAAAGGCAGAAGTAACACTAATGCATAAACTTGAAGCCAACACAGTTTAGAGTCAGTTTGTTCTAATTTCTCTTTTATCAGTTTGAAACACAATAGTTTTGCAGAAGTCCTTGATTCTTGCTTTTGCATCTTTCTTGATGAAACCTCTGACTCCCTCTGAGCGTGATTATTTCAGAATTAAATCGCTGTTGGTTTTGAAACTTCTTTGCTACACTAGGCTGATATACGGAGCGATGAAATGCAGCTTCCTGTGCTGGACACAGAAGATGCTTGGGTGTCTGTGGAAGGTCAGACCTCATTAGTGGAGCTGGCTCTTGAACAGAAGCACATCCATTACCCCCTTGTGGAACACCAGTCTGTGCTCTGCATGCTCCTATACACGATAATGAAGTTTTCCTTGAAGAGCGTGAAGCCCCTTTCTCTCTTTGATAGTAAGGTAGGTTCAAACTGGCTGCAAGCTGCAACCTTTACCGCTGGCAAGGGGTCATTATCATTCAGTCCATGAGAAATGTATCTTAATAACTATTTAGGACAATTGAAAGGCTTCGAATCCATTCAGCTTCTGGGCCATATACAGTACATTTTGATTCGTTAGCCTCGGAGGGGCTGTGGGTTTTTGACAAACAAAATACAGTGGAGTTTCTTTTGCAGATGAAGCTTTCATTTGATGACCAAAATAAGAAAGTCAAGATAATCCATAAGCCTACATAGCATTGAAGGTTACTTCACTTTTAAAAATTTCAGGTAGAAACGTGCACTGTCCAAACCTACTATTCAGGTTTCTTTATTTGCATTAGCTGTATGCCTCTGCAAAGAAATACATTGTACAGTGGCTGGAATCCAATTGGTGTTCAGGTAAGATGTGTATAATCTATAGTAGCTAAGGTTTGTGTTGGTCAGTTAGGCATGTGACTAGGTACAGAACTGAGACATGCCCTGGTGTAAAGGCAGTCAGCTACAATTAGCTGTAGCAAGTTTTGCAAACTGTGATAGTTACTTGGTTTAGGGCCCCCCTCACTGTCCACTGAGTCATACAACCTTCTGTGTCCTGGGGTGGGTGAGCCCAGGACAGTCAGTTGTGCTGAAGACAATGGAACCAACTTGGTGCCAATGCCTCCCAATACTCCAGCCTTCCCAGATTTGGCAGAGCTTCCGGGAGTCCAAAAATCCACAGGCTTGGCACTTAGGACCAATATACCCACCATGCAAGGTACAGCTGCCACAACACCCACAAAAATACCACAATTTCTAGTCTACCTAATACTCATACATTAGTATAGAGTCAGCATAGTTCTGAAGCATAGACAAAGGGCATCCTGCCAGGCATGCCACAGCAGGATAGCAACTGAGCATATAGCATTCCTGAGAGGTTAGCTACGCCAACAAAAATAACTTCTGAACTCCTTTTTATACATTAAACCACCCATTCCAGATCTTTCCGCATAGCCCTGCAGTTGAGCTTTGAGTTTCCTTGAATATTCTCATGGAGACAAAAACACTTTCATCCCTTCTCGCTCCAAACTGAAATCATCTTCTAATGAGTACAGTATCAAGGAAGAAGCCAACTTGGCCTTGATGGTCTTTCTCACGAGAGATAAGCTGGAGGCCTTATTCCCTCCTCGTTGCTGACACGGACCTCCGGTTTCTCAACCACCATTTCCTAGGCACTCACAAAAAAGCCTACCTTTTCTAGATGAGTGGTTCCAAACCTTGGTTAACCCAGGGGTTCTTGGACTGCACTTCCCAGAAGCCTTCACCACTAGTTGTGCTGTCTGGGGTGTGTGGAAGGTGTAGTCCAAGAACACCTGGGTCACTCAAAGGTGAGAACCATTGTTCTAAATGGATTCCATGTTCTCCCCAATTTCTGTTTCTTCACACAAACCTTTTGCTAACACCAATGTGATTCTTGCCACTGTAGAATTATAAGACAGCTGCGTGTAAATTATACATGCAATTAGATTGGCCACAAAATTTGGTTTCCTGTGTGAGGATGCACAACACATCTTTTATTTGCATTCTTCCTATAATTTTACCTGTATGAAATATGCCAGTGTCTCCCTTCATGGTTTCAGTTTATTTTTTAACTTGGGAAGCGGTGGCGGGGATACATTTCCCACAGAATAGAGGTTAAAATTTAAAGGTGATATTGTGTTTTTTCCATGCAGGGTAAAAATGCCTTTTTCAAAGACCTGACTTCAATTCAGTTGCTTCCTAGTGGTGATGTAGATCCAGCTCTGCTCTCTGTCCGGCACCAGGTAAATTAAATACTTGGGAAAACTGTGATAATGGGCATTTGGGAAACAAAACTGCTGCTAATGTGGGTGTCTTCCCTCCACACAGTTCTTAACGAAACTAGTGAGCGCCTTGGTGCAAGCCCAAGCATCTTCCCAGAAGACAAAGGACAATCCAGAAGAGACCTTGAATGTGTCGGTGAAGGATCGAGATTGGCCAGCCCTGGTTTTAGACTTGGCTCAGCACCTTCAGGTCAATGAGGATGTGATCCAACGGCACTATGTGTGTGAGCTGTACAATTATGGCCTGGATCAACTGGGAGAAGAGGTAAGATGTTAACTTGAAGTAAAGACACAAATTGCTTCTGCTCTAAGGCTGCTGTTGCAGCAGATGTGCAGTTAAAAGATGAAGCATGCGATATTAAAGGATGGTGTTCTTACCTGTTTGAATTTAGTTCCAGGAAGCAGGCACAGCTGAGCTTTCAGGTAGTGAATGGGGAGGCACTTCCCACTTAGGTCCAACTGCTTTGGGGCCAGTGCTGCCAATTCCCCTTGCTCCCAAAACTGGATTACTTTCCTAACCAGGTACAGTTGCATTGAGAGGACAAGTCACAAGGATCCAATTTTCTGTACATTTGATTGAAATGCAGCCCAGCAGGGTTCCAGTGGCAGCTGCTTCATTCTGACACTTCCTCTGTACTTCTCTTGCTGCAGATATACAGGGATGAGGATGCAGAAGGAGCTGTGAACAATCTCCCTTTCTGCCTCAGTGTGGCAGATTGCAGCTTTTGTAAACATCCTGAAAGCAGCTTGGGGTAGGGAGTGAAATAGCAAATTTAGGGGCCTGTGCCTGTCTATTTAGGGGTAGGCTCCCTAGGATTTACATGCAGGTAACTGTGTATAGGACTGTAACCTTCATATCTAGGAGACAGTAGATGCATCTTGTCTGCAGTGTGCATACAATATACCATTAACCCCATCACATGCTAGTTTGGCATATTTTGAGCAAGTTTATAACTACAGTGGTGCCCCGCTTGACGATTACCTCATTGTATGATGAATCCGCTGTACGAATGGGGGTTTTCCGTTTGATGATTGGTTCCCTGCTTCGAGAACCTATTTTTCACTTTACTCCTAAAGAAAACTACTGAAGGCATGGTTTGAATATCAAAAGGATGAGTCCTGGATCCCAACTGATGCTGTTAATGGATTTTCTCATATGCAGGCCATTCTTCAGGTCCACGACAAAGAGGTCCTTGCATCTCAGCTCTTAGTGCTGACAGGACAGAGGCTAGCCTATGCCCTACTGCACACCCAGACAAAGGAAGGCATGGAGCTACTGGCCAGGCTACCTCCAACCCTCTGCACGTGGCTTAAAGCGATGGTATGTTCATTGGCACAGCTTGGAAACGTTCCATTTTGGAGGACAAACAGCTATTCTGGCTGAAAGATTCTTAGAACCCAAAAAGGGAACTTTTCCAAGCTTCTTTTTTTCCACAGCAGAAACTGATCCTCTTAACAAAAGAGCACAATGAGGAATGAAGTATTTCACAAAGTTTTCATCTAGTATTTCAGTGAGTGCTTCACACCCCAAGCAGAGTACAAAACTTTAAAATTTATAGAAACCTGTTTCATATAGTTCTAGAATATAACCGTAGCTTTGCTCTTGTTCCTGCGGGCACAGAAAGCAGTACCAACTCCCCTATGTGTGAGCAACAGAAGGGATGAAACCTGTACTTAAAGAGGATGTCAGAGGCTAATAAACTGTTAATCATTAGCTGCAAGCATGTCATGTGGAATGGAATATGGACCCATGGGTCTTATTTATTTATTTTTAAATAAAAATGATTCAGTGTTGTGCTGAGGGGATCTGAAAAGTAGATTCAAGGGTTCAATTGCAGGCAGTCATTAGTTTCTTTCAACTCAGAACCCAATGTCCGCCTTCAAAATCAATCATTGTAGGTGGAAGTAATATCTACTGTATTTTAAGCGGCTGCATATATGACTACAACCCAAGCAGATTTTTTACATAGCATAGTAATCAAGCACACAGGAAGTGGATCGTGACATGCAGCATGTTTTTCATCCAAGATAAGCAGCCATTTGAACTATGTGAGGATAACATGGAAAGGAATGCATTGCTTTGATGTTAATATTTCAGTTTAAGAAACATTACCACAGGCCCTTAATTCCCATGACCTCAAATGACTCGACCTACACATACCTGTATTACACGTTCAGGAACAAATACTGTGAGGATGAGAGAAATTGTAGTGCATGTGTACAGAACCTATCACTATTCAACTGCAATTTTCTCTAGCTGCTTTGCAACATAATTTGCAGCCAGAGTTCTTAGACATAGTAAGACATCAGGCATAGTCTGACCTTTATTTCTGGCACATTGGCAACCTGAGAAGAAAAATAATCATTTTTCCAATTTACTGAAATGTTTCATTTTGCCTGTTGGCAGTCTGTGCTTGCTACTGCATTATCAGGCTAGGTACTATTCATAGCTTAATTTACTACTCTCTTCATAGTCACCCTAAAGGAGAAATCATACTGAATGTTTACTAAAACCCTCTAGGACAGGGGTCTCAAACCCCCGATCCGTGCCCCAGTGCTGGTCCATGGACTCTGCAGGACCAGGCTGTGGAGACAGATCTCCTGCCCCCCCTCACACACACATGGCAGGCATGGCACGTTTGTGGGTGAGTGTGGTGCATTTGTGCGTGAGCGCCCCAACTCACCCACAAGTGTGCTGCGCCCCCTGCACATGAGTGTGCCACACACCCTGTGAGCACAGAGGTGCCCCCCCACGCATGGACCCTGCCCCGATCTGCGGTTCTGAAAAGGTTGGGGACTACTGCTCTAGGGGACTTTTTAGCTGATAACAGGTTTGAATCTGTGCATCCTAAATGCAAACACCGTTTTCTCTATTTTATTAAAGCAGTGGTTTTATCCTAAGAGCAAGATCATAAAGTACAGTGGTGCCTCGCATAGCGAGGTTAATCCGTTCCGGATTAACCTTCGCTATGCTGAAGCATCGTTGAACGGGGCAGGGAATTCCATTGGAATGCATTAAACATGGTTTAATGCGTTCCAAATGGGCCGAATACT